AGGAGGTGAACCAGCACAACACAGTGCCCCCCCCCCCCAAATCCTCTGAGCTGATCCAGAAGGATACCATAGTCGATGGTATCGAAAGCCACAGAGAGGTCAAGTAGGGCAAGGATGAATGCACAATCCCTATCCTGCCCTCGCCAGAGATCATCCAAAAGCACAACCAATGCTGTTTCTATCCCATACCCAGGCCTGAATCCCGACTGAAAGGGATCCAGATAATCCACTTCATCCAAGGCCCTCTGAAGCTGTTCCGTAACCACCTTCTCAGTCACCTTCCCCAAAAAGGGGAGGTTAGATATTGGACAAAAACTGCCCAGTATAGTGGGGTCTAGTGATGGCCCCTTGAGGAGTGGGTGAACCAAGGCCTCCTTAAGAGATAAAGGAACAACCCCCTCCCCTCAAAGATGCATTAACCATCGCTAGAACCCACTCACACGACACACACACACCCAGGCTGCTTTCACAAGCCAGCAGGGGCATGGACCTAAAGAACAGGTGGCTGAGCTCACAGCTCCAAGGACCCTGTCCACTTCCTCAGCTCCAACAGGTTCAAACCCTTCCCAGATAACAGGGCAAGACTCCTCTCCAAGCATCTCCTCTGGACCTGCAGTAAAGCCAATGTCCAACTGAGAACGAAAGTCTAAAGAAATATGTGAGAGCTCAAGACTTGCTTGGGAATACTACACTGGAAAATGTTTCCCTCAGTTTCCCAATCTGCTAAACTTTTTACTCTGTTTTGTATGCATCTGTTACCCAAAATCTCAGTCTTATCCATGCCATCCAAGCTCACAGGAGCCATCAACCTGGGTTTATGGAAATTAAAAAGTGTAATTTACAATAAGCCTTATTTCAAATTCTAATCTCTTTAAACCCAAAATTATGACTGCTCCAGGTTGAAAGAATGTGGTATGTCTATAACTTTGATTAAAGAGCCACACACAATTAGAAGAAGTAGCAGACGTTCCTCCTTTTTGGCTTAATCTACCAAGTGAGCAAAACAGCAATGGGAAAGGATGAGCAGGATCTCTCTAGTATTAAAAGCAAGGCATTCCACATTTTTCATATGTACTTGAATCTTTTATCTTTTTTTTTTTTTTTTTACTTCATCCCTTCCAAGTGAATCACTGAAGCCAGGATTTGACACAAATTCCCAAGGCTTGAATTTTCTTGACTTGTACTAAGGAAGTTTGTCTGACTGATCTGTTCCCTCAGTTTACCTTCCCAACTTTCAATAGGAATAAAAACAGAAAATCTGAAGATTACCTGTCGACCTTGCAGCCAGACATATTTCAGATCATCATAAACTTTTCCAGTCTGGTCCAGACATGTAAAGAACCCTCTGGAGAAAAAAAGGGGGACAGCAGTTAGAACCACAAAGGGTCTGACATTTCCTTAGCTTGGTTTCCAGAAGTATAATACTATACTACAACTCCCAGAATTCCTAGCCAGCAAATTAAACTTCTCTGAGAAAGAAATGAGGAACTAAAGAATGATTCACAGAAGGAACACTAACTGTTAGCAATAATTTTTCAAACAAAGGCACCTATAGCTGGCTTCTTCAAGGGAAATCATTTATCTTTGCAAATTTTGGATACTGTTAAAGAGGACAGAGAGAGCTGATCCATGCATTATACTAAGTCACTGTTTGCTTATCCATGGTTTGCTGAAGAAACCACCTTTAGTGATGTTCACTAACCACAAGCAAAGTATAAATTAAGCTTAGCATGGTGTGTGAATCTAACCACCGCCAGATCTAATATATGGAACACGACAAATCCAGAGGTTGCTGGACATTAACTCCCATTATTCCTGATTACCAGTCGTGCTGACTGAGACTGCTAAGAGCTACAAATCCACAGTGGCTGGGCTATATGGAAACAGGATCCCCCCCCCTTGTCCTAAGGTCGCTTACTGCATCCCATTTTAATAGAGTTTGCTTAAAAAGCAAGAGTAGCACGCATACAGCTCCTATTCAATTCAAGTACGCTTTCGGAAAATTCATTTTAAGATAGGTTCTATTCAGATCACTCTCTCGCGCGTGGCTATCTGAATTTCCATTTACTCAAGTTTCCGAATTCACACGACACTCTGGACTATAACCCAACCACATCTCCTTGGCTTGCACCGCACACGAAACCTAAGAGTTGCTTTTCACAGATCGAAGCTCACCCATATTCCTCATCATGGGAATGCCGTAGCCAAAAATCCACCACCGAGTCCAGTTCTTGAGAGATCCGTTCGTGCCAGCTGTGCAGCGTTTTCTGCCAATCCATATCTGCTGCTTGGTCACACTCGGCTCTGACAAATCCAGAGATCTAACCGCTGTTGCCGCTGGTGGAAAAAATCGATGTATCAGCACATTCTCGTACGTGAGCCAGCCTTTTTTTTAAATCTACCAAAAGTTTTGCAACCAATTAGTGAGTTGCTGATCACATGATTTGCCCGAGTCACCTGATAACTAGTCCAGCGTGGTGGGGGGGCGAGTTGATCTGTGGAGGTTTTCTCCAGATTTTAGAATCTTTTTAACCCTAAAATTGCTGTGAATTGCTTCCGAGCCTGGCAGAATAATAGCAACAAACAAGATAGCTGCTATCTTTAATTACCGCGCCTGTTGGTGTACATAAAACTTCCCCTTCTACAATCTACACAACTGTTCAGGCCCCAGAAGTCGATTCTTTGCGTATAGCAGTTTAAAGCGCTTCTGGAATCCGTACAGGGCAACTCATTATTCATACTGGGGGTGGAGACTAATCTGAGAAACAGCGATTTATTTAAGGCAGGGGCGGGCAACGAAGCTTTCTTCCACTGACAGATTGTCCTCGTGATTCTTCGTGTGTAAATGAATAAGGCGCTTTCCACTTCTAATGATTTAGTAATGGTGACAGCCGGCGGTGTTTTTTTTCCCCCCCTCCAGTCTAAAATTAGGCTGGAGAAAACAAGAAAGATGGTCGAGAAACAGGGGCAGATTTGCGCGAGAGTATCTGCGCGGAGATCTCCCTTCTCTCCCTCCTCCCCCCCCCCTTTCTGGCTTCCTGAACCTTTACGCAGCTGTCTTCCGCTGTTGGGCTTGACTCTGTGAAAAACAATGTATCACATTCATCTAAAAAGATGGAGATCCTAGATTTAAACCGACTCCACCACTCCCAAGAAGACAGATTGGGGGTGGGGATCTCTTTCCATGACTGCATTGTCACTGAATCTAAGACGACGAGCTTTCCCATTTTTAAGATACATTCGGGGCGGGGGGGGGGCACCCCTGGCTGTAGCTAATACTGACTGAGCAGGAGAGAATTCCTCCCAGCGTTAAAAATGCAAAAGACCCGTGTCTTCCTTTGCATATAGGCACCCTGTACAAGAGAATTCCGGCGCAGGGAGAACTTCTATATAAGAAGTCAAATGCAGGTTTGCACATGCACCACAGCGCATGATAGATTCATTTATGGGTCGCATTTTGTTATGGGTATGTGGCATGGAGAGCCAGGATATCTCATATTCTGCCTTTTTGGAAAGACGTGCATGCTTTTCTGACTCAGGATAGTACATGCAAGACATTTCCATGCCCAATCTATATAGTTCAAGCCCCATCAACAGACATCCCTTTTATTTTCTCACTACTTAACACATAGTGAAATGTTTTACAACATTTTAATTTATAAAGCCTATGGAAATCAATGGGGGCAAGACTATCCATTAGCTCCACTATTATCTAAATATAATCTGTAAGCTCTTTGGGAAAGAGATGGATCCCTGGTTCATTCTTCTATTACACAAATGCCATGTACTGTAATGTCAGAAGGGTTGTTCCACTGTTTCAGAAATGTTGTCCCATATATTTCAAGGGTATGCATAGGTATTTCTATAATAGAAAGTAAAAAGTATACCATCTTGGCTTACTGCATCCTAAAGTTTATCCAGAATTGAGCCCAAGACCTTAATTAAATCTTAGGCACCATCACCACCACAATCATCAGTTTTAGCATTCTAAGTTGTTCAAAAACTTTTTACAAGCATGATTTTATTATAATGCTTCTAAGATAAGCTCATGTTATTATGACTAAGATCATACTGGGGGGGGGGCAGGCAGATTGGGAAGGGCAAGGCTGAAAAACAGTGAGGGAGGGGCAAGCCTATGACAGGAATCTGTTAAGGGCACCTCATATTGACACCTTCCTGTGTAACAGCCTTCACAGCAGAACACCTAGCACCCCAGTTCAGCCAAATTATTTTGGCTCCTGGGGAAGAATTGCATACATTCCTCTCCCTGTCCTTGCCCCTTTCCTGGCAGTCAATTATGGTTCATCACTTTTTCTTGATAACCCAAGTGAGTGGCCCAAGGCAACTGCCTCTGTCTGCCCAATGGGAAGCCAAGGGCAGCCCAAGATTTTGCTGCTTAAGGCAAAGGGAAAGGTGGCCCACTCCATTTTATGCACAGTAGGAGCCAACATGGATTAGCACCTGTGAATCTTCCTTCAGCTCAAACAGCTTGATACCATCCTCCACTGCACCCTGATTTAGGAGTGTGGTGTTCTGTCCTCCAAGGGAGGGGATTTTCAAATAAATGACCAGGAGCCCGCCATTCCTGGCCCTCAAAATCTGGTGATTGCCTCAGTTGGCCAAATGGCACATGCCTCTTGGAACACAGGTTGCATTCTGCCAAGTGATGAGAGAAAGTACTCTGCACTGGCTCAGGAGTTATTTAAACTTTCTTCCCAGCTCTCACCACCTTCCCAGGAATAAGTCCTGATGCTGAGGCCTGGTACAAAGCTTTGGCCATTCCGGAATATTGCATCTGTAGCTGAAAGGAAGCAGTTCTCCTCCTTTGGCCTGCTGCTGCTGGGAGAAACAGGGATGCCCTTTTCCCACCGAAGGAAAAAGCCTGGGGATTTCAGCAGGAAACCCCTGCCCAGCCCTGGAGTCCCAGCAGCAGCAGGTGTGGCTGCTTTTGTGCGTTCGCAAACACCTTCTCTTGCTCCTGGGAGGAAATTGTGAGGAACTCCCTCCTCTGGGCAGCACCTTCCCTTCCTCGGAGTTTCAGGAGCGAAAGGGCAGCCTGGTTCCCTCGGAGTAAGGTAGTCACCACAGGGGAGAGGGCGGGAAGGAATCAGGCAGAGATGAGACGCCACCACATTTTTCTTTAGGCTACTGATCTCCCACTGCCGTTGTGAGAGGGGCGACTGGATTCTGGGGAAGGAAGGACTCTGAGTCCTGCCTGAGCCCTCAACTTCTCTCTTTCCAGGTTCTGGCGGAGGCGCCCCATGTTCCGACGTTCACACCTCAAAATCCTGCTTATTGGGAATTCAGGGTAAGCCACCAGCACCACGATCGCTTTTGGCGGGAGGGTGCGCCGTGTGGACTCCCCCCCCCCCGGGAAAGGCAAAGCCCAGAGAGCGCACAGGAACGGGGAGCCCAGCCTCTGTTTGCTGAGTGGGTGTTAAGGATGAAATACAGGCACCTGCTGCCTCTCAGGGACGTGGCGGCGCTGGAAGCTGGAGAGGAAAGAGCGAGACTGAGGTCACCTCCCTATCCCGGGGAAGGCGATTTGAAGGCTGAGGGCTATTTCTTCCTGGCTCGGAGCACAGCGTGAATATGCCCGGCAAACTTTTCTTCCATGTGCTCGTATCGCTGTCTTCTTCTCATTCCCGACCCTAGCTGAGGCAGATTAAAATAGCCTTTCCTAAGATTGTGCAAAATATCGGCTCACCAACCATTCTGTCCATGGATTTAGTTATGGCACAGCCCCCAAAGCCGGGTCTGCTCCAGGCAGAAGAGCAAGAAAAAGGCAAGGCCAGCAGCAGGAGTTCATGAGAGAAGAAAGGAAGGGGATGGGAAGATTGGTGGGCCACTGTACACACACCCTGCAGGGGAAGAGGGGAGCAGGGCCACCCAACCTGGCATTACTTGCCCTTGGAGTCCTCTCTGGATGAGGAGGAGGAGGAAGAGGAGGAGGATTCAGAACACAAACCAGCTAAAATGACCTCACCCACAGTGTTCATGAGGAGTCTAGTAGCACCTTTTCCAGCTAACAAATTTTATTAAAAGGCATAAACTTTTGTGAGCTACGGCTCACTTCTTCAGATTCATAGAGAGGTGTGGGATTTAAACTGGAGTGAGGAAGGGAGTGGGAAGACAGATTATGCAGATGCAGGTGAGACAAATTATAAATATCAATTAACAATTTATATTGTGTTAAAAACTCATTGTGTTTATTCAGACTTTTGGAGATAGCCTGATATCTTTTAATGTGATTTTAGCAATCTCTTGCTCAATTGTGCTGTTAAGGTCTCTTTTTTCCAGAATGGTTGCACTGAGATCTGCAGTGAGTTTCCTGGGAGGCTGAAATATTCCTCTTGATATTACTTTGTCCATCAGAAGAATTAATGCATAGAAGCTGACATCAGGACTCAAACTTGTATTCATTCATTCTTTTGCACAAAGTTTGCCCTACATGCTATTGGAAATGTGGAATTTCCAACTGTCTAAAGGGAGGGGGAATCACACGAATAGACAATATGCTTGGGAACTCTTATCAGCCCCAGATCATACGGCTAATGACCAGGGGTGACAAGAGTATAGTTAAAAACATCTAGAGGGTATGGCATTGGTGAAAGCAGAGGGATTTCAGTTTTTCCTAACAACTATGGCACTGAAAAGGAATAATTTTCAGGAATGCTAGCCTGTTTGTCTATCACTGCTGACAAATGGTTTAAGATATTCCATGAAGCCCTCTCATCTGTTACACTGGTTGGCAGAATTGTGCATAAATTTCTCTTGTAACTGCTACAGTGTACTGTGACCACTTTTTAATCCCTTTATTATTTTATAAATAGCTCAAGGCCTCAAACATACCTAATACTCCTTCCTCCTATTTTCCCCACAACCACCACCCTGTGAGGTGAGGTGAGCTGGGCTGAGAGTGTGACCGGCCCAAAGTCACCCAGCTGGCTTTCATGCCTAAGGCAGGACTAGAACTCACAGCCTCCTGGTTCCTAGTCCAGCACCTTTAACCACTATTCCAGACTGGCTCAAAGTTAATACAAACCTATTAACTTTGCTGTATAACCTTCAGCTCCATGCTTCTGATATCTTCTCCCATTTAGGAATTGAAAGGATTCTTCCCTCCCCTACAATCAGTTGCCAGGTATCCTTCAAAGCAATGTTTTTGGTTTTCCTCTTAGGAATTTAGTCAACATGCTTCCTTAAAGCTTTGTGCTCAGCTTATGTTAGGTGCACAGTTCTTTATACAAACCTGTGTGTGCTGTGTTTAAGCCTGCTAATGTTCGGATGATTTTATTTTGGGAGGGTTGAGTTAAATTAGCTGTTTGTTTCTAGCAGTAGCAGAAAGTTATTTTGAAGAATGCCAAATAACATATCTGAAGGCCAGCTCAAATAGCTATGGTAATGGTTTGGAGAGTGTAGACAGCCCAGTGCAAGATGTGGATTGTTTTAAACATGCAAAATTCATCACCACAATGAAACCCCCCCAATCTGATGTATGTATGCTGAGACTATAATATTCAGAATTACCAATAGTCATGCTGGAAATCCTAGCACACTTTAAAGCAGAACATGTGTAATATGGCCCTCTACTATAGTACTAGAGTGTAATAGTATATTGAAAATGCAATTCTGTAACTACTTATCTGTGACTAAGAGATTGGTTTTAATTCAATTTACTTCTAACAAAAAACATTCAGAATTCCCTTTAAAATGTACTTTTACTAATCATAGAGGCAAAGAACTAGCTTGGATGCTAAAATTCCTTGAAATCCTAATCAGTCCTTCCAAAGTACTTAAGCTGACATTTAAAAATGGGTTAATTTCAGAAAAATCATATCCAAGAGCATTTCTTGCACTAAGATACAGTTGCTTCTCCTATTGAAATAAATAGGATTTCAGAAAATTTAAATTTGGCTGGACCATATTCCCTTTTTAGCAGGAAGTTTATTGCTAAAAGGAGTGTTGGTATGCATTTGATATAATTCATCATGAAGGTATCACAATGTAACAAGAAAACATGGATGTACAGTACTGTAAGAACTTTTTGTTTTGGTGGGACAGGAAGAAACATAGTTAAAATTATGTTTAATGTTTCATCCTCAGAGAAAGCAGTAGTACATGTTTTCTTTTTTAATATTGAGATTGTTTCAGGCAAAGTACATTTCAAATAATTTGTAAATTCAAAAACTGCATCTCAACTAAGCTCTTTGAATAGGATTTCCTTCTGCATCTGATTTTGTTACTGTAATTCAGCTATTATGGCATTATATAAATCTTTCTTGATAAACTAAAAGGGGATCCTTTGCTTTTTTACAGGTAGGAGCTTATCCTTTGGAGTATTTTGGTTTAAGAAATGCTATTTTGACCACCTGATTTAACATGATATCATTGCCTACATTTTATCAGGCATTCCTTCTGCAAGTCTTCCCCAATCATACCCTCAAGCCTTTGGGGCTACAAAGTCATGCTGGCTGGGATTATGAGAAATCATGAGTGGGTTGGGAAGGCTCCCCCTTTCTTTTCAAGCCTGTTTATATTTATTCACTGCACTTGGAATCCAAAATGGTCCGTACCTCTCAGTTTTGTCCCAACAGTTCTATGAGGTAGGTTGGTTTGAGAATGATTGGCTTAATGTTGCTCAGTGAGCGCCAAGGTTGACTGGGAGTTTCAGTAAATTCAGCAGGATATTCAGCCCTTTCTCCCCACTGGACCTACCTCACTGGCCATAGCTCCCATGAATATAGCACTCTTGAATCTTCATGCAATGCAGTTTGGAAGTGTGGGAAATGATACTCTTCCTTGTGACAAACCAGTCCTCTGTTGGTTAACGGGAGGATGGGTAACCGGCCTGCTCTCGGGATCTGATGCCAGTGTTGCTCCCTTCTCCACAGGGTGGGCAAGTCTGCCTTGATGAACCAGTATGTTAACAACCGCTTCAGTAGCCGCTTCAGAGCCACCATCGGGGCGGACTTTCTTAGCAAAGAAGTGCACATTGATGGCCGCACCCTGACAGTGCAGGTAGGCCTGACAGGAGGCTGAATACTGACTCCCCTTTGACATACCTTGAACCAACATCAGTGTTAATCTTCTAACCATTGAATAAGCTAACTTCAGTGCTACCAAGCCTATCCTTTGCATATAGCCAAAAGAGGATCCTGTCTATAACCCCCCCCTCTCTCTCTCACACACACACACACACACACACACAAAATGGTGTCAGCAAGCCAGACTAAGTATCAGAAATCATAAAGATACTAAGGGGCAACAAAAAATGCAAACAATAGTTTGGGGGGAGGGGGAAAGAGCCCACAACAGCTCAATAATTAATCATGTGTTCAGGGTGCACGCAATGGTGACTGTTGGGGTGTGGATGGCAGAACATTAAAAAGTAAAAAAAGTTCAACTTTTTTTTTTGTGAATTGGGAAACTCCATGTTCAAAACTTTTGTGGAAACGTTCTACTAGTCTCAACTTGAAAGACAAAACAATGTGCTGTATATGTATGACTGTGGCCCACTGTGACTTCCATCAGAACAGGGTTTACTTACTATCACAGATACCTCTCATACACAAAAGCTTCCTCCCTATAGCACATTGTTTTGCCATGAGGACTACTCTTCAGCTTCTAGATGTAGGTATAAAAATAATAGCAAGCGTAGTTGCTACCTGCTTCATTTTCTTTTTTCTACAGATATATAGCAATATCAAATAAGCAATAGCCCAATTCTTAGGAGCTTACTTCAGCTGTAGTATCTAATATAGCTTGGCTGGCCATGTGGGCTGTGGCACACGGAAGCTATGATACAACATCTCTGGATGTATGTGTCTTCCATAACTTCCTTAAGTAAGTTCCACATACTTAAAAGTGCTTATAGTTTACACCCATTCCATGTGTCTTGACCATTTTCTGAACTAATGTTACGGTTGCCCCATACCAGTTTTATCACAAAATATCAAGACAGCACCATAAACTAAAATTCCTTTCTCACATTAAAAAAAAATACAATATAGAGAAAGCTAGAACACTACAGAAAAAGGCATATGCACTTCCAAACTAAATATATACACACCTGTAGCTTTCCCCCGTTAACAACTAATCTTGCTTAAGCAGAAATGTCTAACTTGACCAGTCTAAACGTATGGGCATTCTGCAATTTAAAAACTTATTCATTCTGCACTAAAGTTCTCCAGTCTAAGGCAAGGAAAATTTAACTCAATCTGTAATTATGTACTTTCTAATTTGCTCACTTAAATTTCTCAGCCCTTGAGGAGTCAGATCTTTTCTCTCTCTTCCTGCCTCAAGATCTGGGATACAGCTGGTACAGAAAGGTTCCACGCCCTGGGGACAGCCCTTTATCGGGGATCCGACTGCTGCCTGCTCGTCTTTGATGTCACATCTGTCTATTCTTTTCAAGCCCTCGAGAAGTGGCACAAGCAGCTCTTGTTGCAGATTGAGCCAGAGGAAGAACCCACTTTTCCCATTGCCATCATTGGAAACAAGACTGACCTGGAGAACCGTGAGGTACACACTGAGCATGAGTGGGAGAATGATAGATTGGAGCTACTGTGCATGAGTTCATGTAGCACCCAATCTAAGTATGGAGGGGCAATTTAAAAATTGGGAACAGGAACTTCATATGGTGGTTCTACAGACCTTGAATGAAGACTCTGGAAAGGTCTTGATAAACGTAGAGAATGCAGATGCGGAACCAAAGGGAGAGGTCTTACATTTGTAGGTTCTATTTTTAGTTAACAGGGCTGCACGCAAGACTGGGAAGAGAG